GCCTTCTCTAATTAAGAAACGCTCACATTACCGCGAACGGCCCCCGCGCTTCTCGCTTCCTGGTCCTTCGCTTTATCTTCCTGCAACTTCCAAAATCCCCTTGTCTCTCCTCCGCTGCCTGGAAATTAACCTATTCTCCTTTTTTTTTTTTTTTTTTTTTTTGGTTAGGGGAAAGGAAGGAGGGAAGGAAGGAAGGAAGGAAAGAGGGAAGGAAGGAAGGAAAGAGGGAAGGAAGGAAGGAAGGAAGGAAAGAAGAAAGGAAGGAAGGAAGGAAAGAAGGAAGGCGGGAAGGAAGGAGGGAAGGGAGGAAGGAAGGAGGGAAGGGAGGAAGGAAGGGAAGAAGGGAGGAAGGAAGGAAGAAGGGACTCTGAAGGGTCTTGGGACTTGGGTGGGGTGAGGATTTTTTTTAAAGCTGCAAGGAAGACTTTGACCTTTCTTTTCTTTTGTAATCTGCCCCGCACGGTGTCCTATCCCTCCAGACAAAAACAACTGTAAGCACTGCAACCGCTACTGGTCATCTCTGGCTGTGGCCAGCACTCATCAAGTAACTGCATTTCCTAGCATGCAATGGACAAGTCTAGGTTGTAACTGACGTGTGTGTCCGCTTATAGATCAGACTGAGGTTTGGAGCAGTCCGGACACTTGATTATCTTTGATCCTGAATTTTCAAATGAGCAGTGGAGAGAAATATGACAAGATATTCTTTGATGGCAAGCCACTTTGCTTGGTTCAGGTGTAAAAATCTCTAAACTCAACAGAGGCCTCATGAAACTAGTCCTGAACAGGTTCAGAATGAGAGAGAGAGAGAGAGAGAGAGAGAGAGAGAGAGAGGGAGAGAGAGAGAGAGAGAGAGAGAGGGAGGGAAGGAGGGAGGGGGAAAGACAGAGAGACAGAGAGGGAGGAACAAGCCATCCATTCCTTCTTTTTTTTTTTTTTTTTTTTTGGTCAAGCTAGACCTCCAGTTAGCAATGTCAAATGAAGAAAGTGTCAAACTTGCCCATTTGCCAAAAAATAATCTTCCTTCGGCTGTCCGTGAAATCAAGTAAGTTTCCAAAAGTGTGGCGAGCCAAAACCTTCCGCACATTAAAGTGGTTGATGGTAGGAGGCATAGAATATAAAGCAGACTGCTTAAAGTATATAAAACTCGAGAAGGCATCAGCAGCTTCGCAAAGGACTAACCCGATTTATCTATCTTCATTACTTTAAGAAATGCTGCCTCTTTGTTTGTTTGGGTGATATTAAGCATGCTTAACTTGCACACATAGTTGATTCCTTTGCTAGTATCTTGGATACTTGGATCTGACTTTGGAAGGTAGAAGCTAATTGCTAATAATAGAGAGAAAGAAACCAGTCAGCATGGCAGAAGTGGCCTGGCATATGGGGAACGAGCACTCAGAAATACTCAATATTCAAGTTTCCAAAATATTAATGAGATTATAGCAACCTGCAGCTATATGTTACAGCTTGTTAATGGAGTGTAAGAAAGGGGGTTGCCTAACGTTTGTTATGCAAACTCCCTGACAGGACCTTAAAATGGAAATGTGATTGTACATGTCTTTCAAAGAAATGTGAGCATAAAAAAAAAAGAAACAAAAATGAAGAGAAGAAAAAAAAAAAAAGGTTAAAGTTCTCACTTGAACTTTGAACACTCAATTTGCCCCCAAATGGATTGTTTGAATCTTTGTTCAGGTCTCGATGAGAGAGGAGAATTTATCTTAACTTTTCCATCAGAATGATATAGCATTGCCCATGTGATGTCCTGTTCTCAGTTGTTTGCTCTTCAGATGAGATGCGAAGGCGTGTCTTTAATGGAGATGGAGTGATTTCCAACTTCTGTACAGCGCCACGAACATTTTTAAAGTAGAACCATCCTACCCACCCCCACTGAGCATTTGGATGACTTGCTGTCGACCATCATCAGTTGGTTGAGAAATTTTTCCAACAGCATTGACCTGGAGAAAGGGAATAAAGTCTACTTGTGCGTGTGGACACTTTCTGTCTGTGTGATTTGAGGGACAGATTAGGGACAGAAGTTTCTTCATTTATGAAAGATATGAAGGAGGGGATTCGTGATGTCCTAACTGTTTTAGGGTTTCTCTGTGTTGATGAAAAGTAATAAATATGATGAATTCTTGTTTTTGGTGGGTAAGAAAATGATAAGTAGTTTTGAAAGTTTAAATATTGTTTTCTTTGAAAAAAAAACCCCACATTTTCTTCCTCTTGTCCTTCTTCTACTGAGACTCCTAACAGAAAAGAATTCTGTCTCTGTCTCTGTCTCTGTATCTCTCTCTCTCTCTCTCTCTCCCTCTCTCTCCCTAGCAGCATATACCCATTGGGTATGCTTATTGAAAACAAACTGGAAATGTGTTAGAAGTAGTCACTTGATTTATTCATCAGCCCAAAGTTTCAAGATGTTTATCAGACCACAGCAAACTTGCCGGGTGCAAAAGGTTATCTGAAGGACAGGTGCCCGGTTTCTGCTCCTGGAACGTGTCTGGAGCCGCCGCTTCGCAGAGCTCAGCTTTCCTTGATAACTTCAGCTGAAGCCGGGGAAACTCGGGTGGTCAGTGGAACCTTCTGAGCTTCCCTCCTCCAGAGCAGAACCGGCACATCCAAGTCGCCTGCCCCGTGAACAAACCCAGCTCGCCCCACAACTACGATCCCGCGGAGCTCTCCTTTTCCCAAGGTGCTGACAGGAGGATGCCTAGCCCGAGCAAACGACTTTCCCCAAGCGGCTACTTTCTTTCTCTCTTTCTCTCTTTCTTTCTCTCTTTCTTTCTTTCTTTTTTTCTTTCTTTCTTTCTTTTTCTTTCTTTCTTTCTTTCTCTCTCTCTCTTTCTTTCCTTTCTTTCTCTCTCTCTCTTTCTTTCTTTCCTTTCCTTCCTCTCTCTCCCTTTCTTTCTTTCTTTTCCTCCCTCCCTCCCTTCCTTCCTTCCTTTCTCTCTCCATCCTTCTCTCCATTCTTTTCTCCTTCCTCTTTCCTTTCCTTCCCTCCCTCCCTCCCTTCCTTCCTTCCCTCCCACCTTCCTCCCTCCGTTCCTTCTTTAAACATTTTTCTAGTGGAATGTGGCCAAACTTTTCGTTTAAGAAGTAGTTCTACTCTGTTGTTAATTAAATATATGTTTAAAACTCCAGTTTCTGCTCTCTGTATACAAAGTGTTAGCTTTTCTAAGATCTATGATCCCGAGACCCAGAATAAACTTGTCCTTAGTAAGGCGGGAATTTCCACATAAGTTTATAAATGCACGTTGGGTTTTTCTAGATAGGAGCTAACCCAGAGAAGCAAGATAATATACAAGCTAAAGCTTGTATATTGGAAGAAGCCGAATAGCTTGGAAAGAGAAATTGAGTGGAGATTGGCAATTTCCTAGAGAATGGAGTGGGCTTCTAACGCTTGAACTGATCATTACCAATTTCCTTTTTTCCCTCTCAAGAAAATGTGTTCTTCCAACAGACATGAGAGCAAGAAAAACCTGGCAGAAGGGATGAGGAGAAGAAGAGTAGGAGGGAGAAGAGAGAGAGAGAGAGACAGACAGACAGACAGACAGACAGAGACAGAGACCAGAGAATTATTAGGAAACTTGTGCTGTGTATTTGATTTATGCGAACTGTTTTCAGCTTGGCAAGTTTTCATGCTTAAAAGATTTAATCCTGATAAAATTAACTACTGACTTATCTAGAGGACCAAAGACACTATTGCTAAGGAAGACTAGAAGACCCCATCTGTTGAAGAGGCAAAACTATGCAAATTTGGGGAAAGTTTTATCTTACCATTTAACTATGGCTGGAGAGCATTCGCACTATGTAGTTCCTGGCACTGTGAAGACAATGGTTATACAACATGTTCCTTTAAAACTATTTCATCCAATACAGTTGCATTTAATACCTCAAGTGTGCAAGGTCACGTTGACTGTGATACTCTAAAACGGAATAAGTGACACATCACAAAGTATTTTTCAAGTTTATTCTATTATTTGCAAAAGGAAATACATAAAACAATAGCAGTTGGCTTTGCTAAATTAAAATAAAATGATCTTAAGTAGAAAACGTTAAAAAAGAAAAGAACCCAACAAATCAAGGTAAGTAGAAATGGTACCACTCAATAATAAATAAATTTTCTAACATTACCGAAGCAAAATAAAATCGATCAAATGGTTTTTTTTTTGACACTACTACATGTATTCTCTTAATTTTTATTTTAAAAAAACGACACATTTGCCAAAAAAAGTTCATCGGTGGTAAGTGGCTGCTCTTAAAACAATAATAATAACAATAATAATAATAATTAAAAAAACCACGTGTCTGCAATTGGCAGTTGAGTTTCTCCTGGAGCCGAAGCAGCAGCAACTGATAAAGTGCGTGCGCCAAGTTTCCTGCAAGAAGCCACGGTTCTCGCGTTTGGATGTGGGTTATGTTCATACCTTTGGGAAACCCTGTTTTTTTTTTTTTTCCCCAACAGCTTCATGGCCATACGCTAGCTACTCTATTGGGAGAGCATTGACTTTGACTTACAGAACGCTTTTGGTGGTGGGAGGTGGGGGGGGGGGGGGGGAGATGAGCGTTGGAAGACTACCGCTTCCATCCATGGGCGCGCGCAACACACAGGGATGGATAGCCAGGACACAGGTAGAAAGTCAACCCAGCTCTCTGGCAACGGGGCCACGCGAGGTTTCCGCAGGGCATTGGCAGCAGGGACGATGAACGGTGCCGGGTACACTTCGGCATGCCCAGGGGCATCTAGCTACCAGGAGGACAAGCCCCGGGAGGGCGGGAGAGGTGAAACTTTTATCAGCAAGTTTCCAACAAGCAATTAGGGGCTGGGGGGGGGGGGGTTGGAATCGCCTTTGCCAGCCACCCCACCGTAGCTGCCTTACGAAGCCAAGTCGTGGCTAACCAACGACCTTCGGAGAGCAAAACCAACTACACGTATCCAAAGTTAAAACCATCATCGTGGAGGGTGCGGGATCGTTCACCGCGGGGCTGTGAACTTTTCAACTTTCCTAACTGGCCTCATCCGAGTCACTGTAATGGGAACGGGGGGAAAATTCGCCGTCGCTTCTGTGGGATCGGGGTGACGTTTTGCTATTCTCCTCCGACCCGGGCTGCAAGAGGCCCCCGGGCAGCGACGGCGACAAGTTCTTCGGCGCCATCATCGCCGCCAGGGCGCTGTCCTCGAACGTGGAGAAGTGCAGGGAGCCCAGCGGCACCGAGTACGCCGCGCTGGAGGCCGGCGCGGAGAAGCGAGTCCGGCAGCCGGCGGGCGCGGGCGGCCGCGGGGCCCCCCCGGGGCTGGGCTGGGCCCCGGCGGCGGCGTTGGCGGCGGAGCCCGCGCCCGCCTCGTAGGCGGCGGCGGCGGCGGCGGCGCGCAGAGGGTGGTGGTGGTCGCTTTTGCACGCGGCCGGGGGCGCCGCGGGCGGCTCGCCGCCGCTGGGCGTCTGCAGCAGGTCGGACAGCGCGTTGATGTAGATCTGGGCCATCTGCAGGGTCTCGTACTTGGACAGCTTCTTGTCGTTGTTGAAGGACGGGATCACGTTGCGCAGCTGGTCGAAGGCGTGGTTCAGCCCGTGCATCCGGCGCCGCTCGCGGGCGTTGGCCGCCAGCCGTCGCTGCTTCTGCACCCCGTTCACCTGTTTGCTGGAAGGGGCTCGCTGGCGGCTCAGCTCGTCCACCATCCCGCCTTTCAGCTTGCACAGCTGCTCTCTCACTTTGGCCGACGCCGACCCCGGGTTCTTCGGGAGCCCTCCGCCGCCGATCCTCCGCCCCGCATCCCTCCGGCCGTCCTCCTCCTCCTCTTCCTCCTCCTCCTCCGGGGCGGCCGCCGCCGCCGCCTCGGCGGCACCCAGCTCCGGAGAATGCAGCAGATACTGGGCGGCGCGTGCCGTGCAGATGCCCTGCAAGGTCGGAGCCAGCCAGGCGCGTGGGTCGGTGCCGTCCAGGAGAGACAGCTCGGCGGGGTACACCGGGGGCTCCCTCGTCTGCAAGGTGGCCGGTGGCTGTGGCGGCGGCTGGAGGTGATGCGATGGGGGGTGACGATGGGGGTCCCCCAACTCCGTCACCTCAGCCCACTCTTCTGCGTGCAGCAGGCGGGACATTGCACGGCGCGGGCGGTGCGGCGGCGGCGGCGTTGAAGGAGGCAACTTGGCAACCCGGTTCCACTCCAGGGGGAGAAAAGATGAGGTGTCCTCCACACCCCCTCCCCTAAAAACCAACCAACCACCGCCACCCCCCAAAGTAATCTTTTCCTAGGGGGGGGAGGGTCTCCTCTGCTGCGTCGTAACTCTGTTTCCCGCCCCCCTCCCTCTTTCTCTTCCTCGATCCTCCTCCCCCCCTCCTCCTCCCTCCCTTACACTCGCTCGGAGATCACACACCAAGTCGCGTGCAACGAAGCTTCTCCGGTTGCCGAAGGCGCTGCGCCCCTTTAAAAAGCGGCACGCGCCAGCGCGGCTCCCCTCCCCCTCCCCGCGCGCCTCCCAGCCCCCTCCTCGCGCCGGTCGCGTGTCTGCTCAGCCAATGGAGGGCGCGGGCCGGCGCGTGCGAGCAGCCAATCAAAGAGTTTTTACACCCCAAGGAAAGTTCCGCCGGGCGCTGGCCGCGCCGGATCCCGCCGCCCGCTCCGTCCCGCGGTCCCAGTCGGTGAAATTCATATGTTAATTGCCAGGCTGTAATCCGACTCCGCGAGCGTGTTTGCTCCCGGGTGGAGCCTCTCTCCTCCCCCCCCCCCCTCCTCCCGCCCCTCTCCCCCGGGGGTGCGCGAATTGTGCCCAAGGGGGGCTCCCCGCACCGACGGCTGAGCCCGATCGGGTCCGACGCGCGCGGCGGGCGGCTCCGGGCCGGGTCGCCCCTCCCCTCGCCCCCCGCACCAGACGCCTCTCGGGGACCTAGAACCCAGGGGGGAAAGAAAAAAGTCCTCTCGCCCCGTCCGGTGCGGTCGCCAGGCCGGGATCGGCGCCGCCGCAGCCACGAGGACCCCGGAGAGGGGGTGCGCCCCGGAGAAGGGGTGCGCGTGCGCCCCTCGCAGCGCGCGGCCCATCCTCCCCCGGGCCGGCGAACCACACCTCCCGTCGGAACTCGGGGGAGAAGGGGGAGGGGGCGTCGCTGCCTGGGAACGGGCTTCGGACCCCCTGCTCCGTGTTTGTTAGCCTCTTTGGCCCCGGGTTCGAGTTCGTCTTGGTTAGGTCCTCTTTATACTCATGGGAAGTGGAGTTGCGGCACGGTTAGGGTGCACCACACGTCACACGCACCCCCATTGCTCGTAGCCGGCTCTCCAGCGTGCTGCCGCTTCCCGAAAAGCCCCCGCAGAGCCGTGCTTTTGGAGACAGGGATTTGACGCAAAAGCGTGCGACTCGGAAGGTTTGTATTTTGAAGACACTCTCGGGGCGGACACGGGTCCGGTCTGCATCCGCAGGGATTCTCCTGCCCTTCCAACTCCTGGAGCCAGAACCCTTTACCCTGTGGGCTTCACCACTGGGCGCGGCTTCTTCGGCAAACCCCCAGGAACCGCAGCCGAACCCACCCCTCCCTCACTAGTTAAGGCGTGCGCTCGCTCCCCAGCCTGAAACCCAGAGGTGATCCGTGGCCGGCGGGGTGGGACTCCGACTCTCAGGTGAACACTCCCCCGTCACCGCATTGGCCTACCCAGTCATCCGCGCGTTCACGGGAGCCAATCAGGAGCTCCCGAAGCCCCGGGCACGCCCCGGTTGGCGCCCCGCGCGCGCGCGCACGCCCTAGCTCCAGGAGGCTCCCGTGCACCTGGCTTGGGGCGCGGGAGTGGGTCGCAGCCTAGCTGCTGCTTTACAGCCGTCCACTTTCTGAGTGGCTGTTGTCCCGGGAGGAGTTTTCATCCTCCGGGAAAAGTGGTGTAAAGATGACCCACGAGTCTTTTCAGGGTTGGGGGGGGAGGGTGTCCCAAAATGTTCTCCTCGTGTGGGTAGAGACTTGATCCAACCTGCCATGAAGAACTCATCAGATAGAAGAATTTCGGGCTGGAATGGATGATATGATAGAGATAGATTAAAAATACAGGTAGATGATGCTCATGATATAGATGATTTAGGGATATACATATTATGGATAGATATGTATATGGATATATGCCTAGATGCATATGTATTCCATTATAGATATAGAAAGATGGAACAGAGTGCTAAAATGATTATCAATACATCACCCTTCATCCATCTCTTCTTCAACTTTATTTGCTGGGGTGTAGGAACAGTCCCGGATCTTCTCATCTTAAAAGCCAGAAATATCTAAGTAGTGTTTTTATGAGTGTCTTTAGGCAATGCAGACCTGACTGTGTTAAATATATAGGCAAATTAGCAAGGCCCAACCCTAATTGAAAATGTTCAATGAGAATAAGAAAAAAAATATCTTTTTTGGGGGGGGATAACATTCTTCAAGAATTTTGGCAACTGGCAGGCACGAGTAAAATCCGCTAATAATATTACTGCACATGGTTTGGAAATGGCTTTTAGTTCTTATGGCTACTTAGCATTTCATTTAGTAGACAGCTTTTGCTATCTTCACCTTAATTGTTCCCTAACTCAAGCTTTACTTCTAGCAAGTCTTCCACACTAGCTCAGGTTTCTTTGTCATATACCCTGTCTGTGTTTTATTCCTTTGCTCAAGGGTTCATCTTGGTTGGCAATTCCATTGGTATAGCTATTAATTGTCTTTGACCCCAGAGTGTGAAACTTCATGGCTTTGCTCTTCCGTTAAGCTCACTACTTAATACAGAGTCTGGGAACTTGGTTGGTACTTGATCAAAATAGAGGGAAAGAAAATGCCTTCAAGAAATGCCATCTTGTTTTTACTAGTTTCCTCAATGAATAGTTTACTTGCTGCCAAAGTTCAATCTAGTTAAAAAAATTCTCTGTGCTGATGTTTTACCTTATGGAAATTTAATTTTATTTATGGGCAATAAAATGGAAAATTGAGGGTTGTATTTATATTGGAGACTTCTGTAACATCTCATATAATTCATATACCAGAACAAATATATTTAGTTGGAAATAAATTGTGCTTAGTAAAAAAAAACTGCTTGCCATTTGGTTTGAATTTTCTAGAATATTGATGATATTCTGTTAGGATCTGTTATTAGATAGTTCTGTATAAATTTTGGACTTTATGAGAGTTGTGGAAGAATTAATTAGAGAAAACTGGACTCACACAAAAGATTAAAAACTAATTGCAATTTTCTAAGCAGTCAACTTAAGTAAAGCTATTAATACAGCACATTGAAAAGGACTGAGGAAATATTCCCGTGGTAGTAGGTAGACAAATACTGAGGGAGTTGTGGAAGCTATGTCCTGAGGCCATTCAGATCTTCTTCAATTCTAATCCAAAGGCTATTTTCTTATTTTTCTCACTAGTTGGTGCAGACTGAACCAGAGCAATCACTTAAAAACACCAACAGTTTTCTCACCAGTAGAGAGCTCTTAGTCTGATTGACAGAAACATCACCAACCTCCCACCATTGTGTCTACTGGCCCAGTTCCATCTGTGGCTGGAACTTCTAACACGAGCTGTCTGAGAAGTGTGGTATTCTTGCCAGCTATAGATTGTGCATTCAGCTACCCCTTCCTGCACAAGGCTGCCTTGCATTATTCTTTCCTGCCCTGTGTCCTCTCGCTGGGCAGTCTCTGCATCTTGATGTGATAATGGAGAGTTGGAACGGAGGTACAGTTTGCAGATGTCAGTGAGCCTAGCATGATCACCCTGTTTCACTGTCAAAGAGCCTTTAGGTGACCCTTGCCCAGTTTTCACTCAACTTCTTTCAAGCGGACTTGCATGTAATCTTACTAGAACTCCTCCTATAGCTTTGAGATTGGAAGTTCAGACAAATGATTAACCAAAGTAGATTTTTTTTTTATTACCAACTTTTATTCACCACGGAAGAAATTGGAATTCAACCAAGGAACTTGTTTATTGACAAAATTTTATTGATAAAATAATTTATCAAAGATTTATGAACAAATTAAAAACTTCTGAAAAAGAAAATTATACCAACCAAGATAGTAAAAAGTATGATGTGGGTAAGGAAGGGTTTTCTAGTTTGGATGGACTACATGAAGCAACCTCATAAAACTAAAGACTTCTCCAAAAGAAATTAGGGTGAAATATTTGAACTTATCAGAAAGGCTACTGTAAGATGCTTGTCATGTCAGAGAGGGTTTCTCCATCTCCACCCTGATACCTCGTCCAACGTCTTAATTTGCTTTGCAGCTTGGATCTGTCTGCTCTTCCCTCTCAGTTAGCATGACCTGGAGATCCTCTTGTCTCTTAAGTGTGGCCTTGTCATTTCAGCAACAGCTTTCCTTCCTGGCTCTGGACCTGCTTTTTGCTGGCTGCTTTGGCTGAGTGCCTCTGACTTTGGGTGGCTGGTGTTGTGAGTCTCTCTGGCTTCCTTCCCACAGCAAGTGTTGATGATGAACTATAATAGGAGACCTTGTTTTTAAAATTTTTTTTCAACTCTGTTTTAGGTCTCTAAATAAAACCATAAGGTTATAATCTTAGGGATTTCTCAGTTCACTGAATTGCTCTCTGCGTCCTGTGATCTGACAGATAGCAAGAAGGAGATTATGAATATTTATCATTCCATGTAAAAATATTTTGAAGACTGAGATCAACACCGAGTGAACATTTTATTCTCCCTACAATTCCCCTTCCTTGTTCTAAGATCTCAAGGAATGGACTGTAAGGGACATTTTCTGCTTTCAGTTTATGACGGTATTTTGGAGTTTGTGGGATACAACTTCCCTCAGATCTTTTGTACAAAAACCATCACTAATATTCACCCAGAAAGCGTATTCTGTTCCTGAAGCACATACTAGTGATGTTCTCAGTTTTAAGAGAAAGCTGGTAGGTTTTTAAGAAGAAAGACCTCCTTTAACTTAAAGGCCTGCTTGGTATCAATGGCTCTGCCAGCCATTTGGTTTCTACACAGGACTGAAAGGGAGTTGTGGTTTCAATCTAAGATGGATGAAGACTGAAACAAGGAGACTGAACTGAAGTTAGATCAGTTAATTCACAAACCATAATAATATATCACCAGAAATAGAAAGCCAAGACTGCCATGAAGGTAGTGGCATTT